TATGCCAGCTCTCACAGCTGGCTGGCTTCACAGAAACCAGGATCCAAGTCTTCCTGAAAGCCACCCTGCTCCTCCTCAGTGAATGGATCCAGAGGGTCTTTCCCCCTCCTCTGTTCTATTCAAACAGAGAGAAAACAGCGCCACCTGGTGGCTGGTTGCCTCTATTCTATACCTAGCATCTCACCTGCAGGTGCACAGGGGTAACAGCTCCACCTGGTGGCTGTTTATAATTATCTCATCGGTTGGTTGATACAATAAGAGGCCACACGAGTAATCCTGTAGCCTTTTTTCAGAGCACAGTTTTGTGCCCACAGCGGCGAGTTCCATAGCCACATGGTGCTCGGGCACCAGCAATATTCAGAGCCCAGGGGCCCAGCTCCACCAATATTTGGGGCCGGGTGTCTTCCCCGGCCCCCCTGTGGCTCCCCCTTACCTCCCCCGGCCCCATCTTGCGTTCCCGGGGCTCCGGAACACAGCTGCTACTCTGAAAACTGACACACTGTCTCTTCTGTGCAGCTCCATGCTGCCTCCCTGCAGCAACTTCTGCCGCAGGGTCCTAGTGCCCCCATCTCCACTGCCAGGGCAGACTGACTCTGAACCTGCCCTTCCCACTCAGACCCTTCCCTTTTCCGGCAGGACCTTCCAGCAGCACAGCCCCCCCCCCATGCCCGCAGTCACCGCTCCTGCCTGGGGGAGGCGAGGGAGATTCCTGGACCTGAGAGGGGCCCCAGGAGCACATGCAGTGACAGTGGTGGGGGTGAGTGTGCTGCTGGGGGACCAGGAAAGGGGGGCTCCTCCCCCAGAACTTGCTGCTGCCAGCAGGGAAAGGGCTGGGGGGAGTCCTCCTCTCTGGCCTCTGTCCCGGAGCAGCCTGCCTGCACCCCAAACTCATCCCTAGCCCTGCCCCACCCCGGAGCCCACACCCCCAGCCAGAGCTTTCACCCCCCCACCGCACCCTCAACCCTCTGCTCGAGCCCTGAGCCCCTCCCACACCCCACAGCCCTCACCCCACACCCCTTCACCTCCTCCCTCTGCACCCCCTCCCATCCCCAAACTCCCTCCCAGAGCCTGCACCCTGCACCCCAATCCCTTGCCCCAGCCTAGGGCCTGCACCCCAGACCTCCGCCCCCACCCAAACTCCCTCCCAGAGCCTTGGGCAGGTGGGGGGCGGAGTTTGGGCAGGGGCAGGTTCTGGGCACCACCAAAATTTCTACAAACCAGCCACCCCTGCCCACAGCACACTGCTCTGGTCTTGCTTCTCCCGCAGATCAGCTCTGCCGGTCAGATGTCAGTGTGCCTGACGTGCAGGTGCCATCAGGTGTCTCGCTGGCAGCGTCTGAGCCTGCAGGTAACTGCAGGGGGCAAAATTGCAGCTGCAGTAAAGGAGCCCAGGGCTGGAAACGTGGCCCCGAATTCACAGCTCGCGGCGCTGTGGGGAGCTGGTGGGTGGCGCTGGCCTCTCTGTTGTGAAGGGGAACGTGTCTAGGCACAAGCGCAGGTTTCCAGGGTGTAGAGGGTGTGTGTGTGTGTGTGTGTGGGGTTTCCGTGGCTACAGAGGGAGACCGGCAAATCTCTTACCCTGCTACTTTCTCATCTCCAGCAAAGAAACCTGAGCCGTGTCCAGCTGGTGCTGCCTGCCCAGTGGCCGCCTGCCCAGACGGCTGGGTCGGGTACCTGGGGAAGTGTTACTATTTCTCACAGGCCGAAGGGAACTGGACCTACAGCCAGAGCCACTGCTCTTCACTTAACGCCTCCCTGGTTGTGATTGACACCCAGCAGGAAATGGTGAGACCCAGATTCTGGGCTGCACAGGGTGGGGGTGGCGATGGTGGGTTTGTGCTGGGCTTGTCCTGGGGCTGGCAGGGCCCCAGATGCTAGGGCAGGACAGGGTTGGGGCTCCTCCCGTCCTCTTTTTTGATTGTTGAACTATGGGAACCCTACTCACTGCCCAGACACAGCTCCTGTCCTCATTTTACTTCCTCTCCTACACCACAAAGAGAAACCATCAGTGTCTCCCCTGCCGCCCAAGTAAACAAGGTGACAAACAGGGACAGAGCAGCAAACGGCATCTTCTGCCCAGAGCCCAACTGGCTCCTTACAGCCCAGCACAGACACATTCTAGGCTGCAAATAGGCCGTAGGCCCTTGAACCAGCCTCTGTTATTGTTATTATATCTAATACTGTGGAACCTAGAGGCCCAGCTGTGCAGACACACACAGCGAGAGACAGTCCCTGCCCCAGCTGAGATCAGGGCCCCGTTGTGCCAGGCGCTGCACAGACACACAGCGAGAGACAGTCCCTGCCCCAGCTGAGATCAGGGCCCCGTTGTGCCGGGTGCTGCCCAGACACACAGCGAGAGACAGGCCCTGCCCCAGCTGAGATCAGGACCCCGTTGTGCCGGGCGCTGCCCAGACACACAGCGAGAGACAGGCCCTGCCCCAGCTGAGATCAGGGCCCCGTTGTGCCAGGCGCTGCACAGACACACAGGGAGAGACAGGCCCTGCCCCAGCTGAGATCAGGGCCCCGTTGTGCCAGGCGCTGCACAGACACACAGCGAGAAACAGTCCCTGCCC